TTTACTGATAAGTATTTCAATCTTCAGTTGTTTTGATAAATTTTGACATTTCTAAACACTCTTGATTTGGGAGAGAAGGGGACATTTCTTATCATAAGGAGAAAAAAAAATTATGCATTAAGTGTGTGATATATTTACTTTCTAGGCCACCTTCAACTGGTTGGGTTTCCACATATGGCAGACAATCTACTAAGATAGGCCTCCCTTAAAGAAATATTAATTGGGATTTGATTTATAAAACAAACAACTGATGCTAAACACTGAATGCTGCCAGACATACAACAAAGACCTATTCCCACCTTTCATCTGGGGGCCAAGAAAGACACAGCGTGGCACTGGCCCAAACTGGATAGGAAAAAAAATGCTCAGTTTGTGTTGATTAAAGCTATGGTTTGCGGGGAAAATACCAAATTTCATCCTAGCTTCCCTTCCTTTCACATCTCACAGCCAGCCCTGACATCTGATTCTTGCACTTGGCCTTGGTCTATGGTGTTTCCACTTTCAAAACACGGCCTTGTTTAATCTAATCATCTAGGGGAGCACAGTCCCACGGAGATCAGCACAACCAGAGAATGCATCTAACCACAGCAAAACGCGGGCAGCTATGCTGTTGTGTCTCACCCGCTTCCCAGGTCTCCAGCCAAACATTTGGCTTCAGCTTTCCCCGTCGCCTGCTTTCAGCTGAGGAAGCATTTTGGAATCTTTCATGGTGAAGAGAGTCACTTAGCACATTTTATAATTAACCTCCATGAAGCAGAGCTTCGGCAAGTTTGCAAATCATGGGTTTCATTAGCCTAAATAAAGTCAGATTGTCCCTCCTGCTGTATTAGAAGCTGGCCCAACATCAATACAATTATTATTTTGAGCAACCATGTGTGCAGCAGGTGAAATCTTTATGATTACGAGCCCATAATAAAATCTTTGACAAGTTAAAAATATTAGCTCAAAATATAAATTTCCACTGACTCAAAACTTTCTCAACAATTTGGGTTGTAAAATGGCTGTACCCACATTCTTTTTTTAAAAATATATTTGATTTTTTTACAGAGAGCAAGGGAGAGGAATAGAGAGCTAGAAACATCAATGAGAGAGAAACCAGCTGCCTCCTGCACACCTCCCACCAGGGATGTGCCCACAGCTAAGGTACATGCCCTTGAACAGAATCGAACCTGGGACCTTCTATCCACCGAGCCAAACTGGTTTTGGCTCTAACCACATTCTTGCCTCCACTCAAGGAACAGAGGTGGGGACTGGTTTCTTGATGGTTTAAAGTGACTTTCATAAATGTTCTCAAAATGCAGTCAGTGTTTACACGCACATAACACAGAAAGGAGGAAGGCAAAGACTTGCTGCCTATGGAGACTCAAATTTTACTTTCCAGAAGCCTGACTGGGCACCAGTTGAGTAGTGCCTCCTACATCTAGCTCTTTCTTAGAAAGAATTAGCAGGGAAAGAAAAGCATTCCGGGTTAGCATGCAGGGCATGCAAAGAGTCGCTTTCCCAATTGTTCGCTTAACCCACTTCTTTCTGACTTTCACACCACGGATTGCACAGGTGCCCAAGGCACTTCAGGCAGACTCTCTATCTTTCCTGTTAATCCTCAATACAAACAATTTTCAGATGGAGGAGGGAAAAGAACAGAGAAAATGTTCATTTGAGTACAATGGCTTCGTGTTTAAAACTACTATATATAAAAAGAGGGCATTCCATGAGAAAGCTTAAGTTGGTTCGTGAAAGTGTTATTCTTCACCAAATACATCCTTTAGAGCTTATAGAAGAAATAAAAAAAATATGGAAGCAGCCTGAACAGTTTCTCCACAGCTTATGTTTTAAGCTAGTAACATATTTACAGTCTGTGTACATGAAGCAAACAGCGCATACTGAAATGGGCTTAAGGAAAATTCAAAACACTCGAGCAAAACCGGGTTCTCACAAAATCATTTGCATCACCAGACAGAGCCCGTATCGTTAACCTCCAAATCTGGGGGCGGGGGGGGGGGGGTAGTATATGTCTAACAAAAGGGAAGAGAGGGAATCACATGAGAAGGAAAGAGTAGAATTAGAATCTAGAGCATGAATGGCTCGTTACATGGCCTCATGCAACAACCTAAAAATAAAGCACTGGAAACAGACTCAAGAGCACACTGGCTGGAGGGGAAGCTGTAATCACACGCAGATGATTAGAAAACATTTTGTAAAGTTATCTCCTCTAAGTTTCGCAAGGCTCAGACTTTATAACACATGTTTACAATTTTTTAAGGCAAAAAGTGAAATTAAAGAATCATAAAGCAATTAAAAAATGAATGAAAGCCAGATCCCTTTATGAAGTGGGAATTAAATCCATATTCCTCTATGCCGGGATCTTAAATGTCTCAGAGTGAGCCATATGTCATGCAAAAAAGGGAAATGAAGTAGGCAGAGTTTGATTGGAGAACAAATTATCGAGAAGTTTAAAGAAGTACAAAGAGGTGAGTCAACCAAGAATTTAAAGGGGCCGAAACTGGTTTGGCTCAGTGGTAGAGCATCGGTCTGTGGACTGAAGGGTCCCACGTTCGATTCCGGTCAAGGGCATGTACCTTGGTTGCTAGCACATCTCCAGTAGGGGGTGTGCAAGAGGCAACTGATCGATGACTCTCTCTTATCGATGTTTCTCTCTATCCCTCCCTCTTCCTCTCTGTAAAAAAAAATCAATAAAATATATTTAAAAAAAAAAGAATTTAAAGGGGACTGAAGGGTGTAGTCATATGTCAACAATTCAGGTTTGGTTTTTCACATAGAAACCCACATTTCTCCTACACTGTTGTCTTGTAAGACGATGTTCAGTATTCTTGTCCTATTAGGAAAAGCCTGTATTGCACACATTTAGTTTTAATAAAACACTTGTTCTCATTGGTATCTCATTGGTTCTTCCCATTCAGACTGTTGTATCTGTCTGTGTGACTCAAGACCCTTGCGTTAGGATTCAGGAGGGCTGGGAAAGGAGATGCTGGAAGCTTCTTCATTCCAGCCCACTTGGCTTGAGTGTCAACGCAGCCCCAAGGAAGATGCATGTACTACTTCAGGGTACTCTTCCAGGGAAGTCTCCCAGATGCTGTCCAAGTGTGAAAAGGGATCAGGATAGGATTGAAGGAAGTATTAGCCCTTCCTTCAAAGAATTTGCAATCTCTTCTTGGGAAAATCAGGATCTGGCTCATCATCTTATAGATTCAGCTCTGTTCCTTTTGCCTCACCATCCCTCTGCCCAGACAGAGAAGAATCACCCACTGCCCTCCCAGGAATTTAGAATCTCATGGGGCTTCTCTCACTCTGAATAATGGTGATTAATTACTGGTGTTGCTTTTTAAATCTTCTGTTTAATTACAATCCTCTTGGGTATTTGGACTAATCTCTCTTGATGCAGAATTGGAAGGTTGCCAATTCTTGGGCAGCTTTCATGTTTCTGCCACTTACTCACTCATGAACACAGAGACGTAATAAATATTGAGTTAGGATCTATATGAAGCTATGGTTTTATTTTTATTTTTTTAATCCTCACCCAAGGATATGTTTTCATTGATTTTAGAAAGATAGGAAGGCAAAGAGAAGGAGAAAGGTAGGGAAGGAGAGAGAGAGAGAGGGAGAGAGAGAGAGAGAGAGGTAGGTTGCCTCATATACCCGACCTGCTGGGTTTTGAACCCACAAACTTTGGGTGCATAGGACTACACTCCAACCAATCAAGTCACCCAGCCAAGATGAGACTGTAGTTTTAATTAGTTACTTTAATATGCATGAGTGAGAGACGGGTGAAGACATAATCCCATCCCTGATGCTCAAATGGCATATGGATCTTAAAAACACTTCCAGCTCTTCTAGCCCAGCAAGACGAGAGCCATGGATTCTGAGAGTGTCTAAATGACTCACCTGCCTTAAAACACAGAATCCTAAGACAGAGCTGGGATTTCATCTCAGATCATAGGTTCCTGAAGCTAAAGATGAGATATTATATTGAATTATCATCAGCAGTGCCTCTGAGTGGTTATTTAGGCAACAAATACTTTGTTGCCTTTTTTGCTTAAATGCTAAGAAGAGGGATACATACATTTAAAAATGGAAATGAACTATTCAACTTAAAAGCAAAACGGATAATAACAGCTGATACCTATGATTTAACCAATTTGGTCCTGAAAATCACTCCATGAAATAGGCAATGCTGTTCCTATTTCATATACAAAAACTAAAGCTTAGAGAGTTTAAATAGTAAGACCAATGTGACAGAGATAGAAGGTACTTTAGCAAGAATTGAGCCCGGACGTGTCTAATTCTAACATCTAATCCTAAGTACTGAACTAACGTCTCATACATCTACCCCGAGTAACCTATATCAATGTTAGAAAACACATAATCCTAACTGCTGGGATATTTTTCAACAACTAACTCAGCCCTAAACTTCTAGTTTTAGGATTTAGATACGTTTCATATGACAAGTACACCAGGGAAGTGACATTTTAAAACAAACTCTGTTGACCACGGAGCTTTGCTTTGCTATTAAAAACAAGACAGGCATGTTTACCAGAAGCTATTGATTCCCTCTGACAGGCCCAAACTATCATGATCAGCCACAGTGAAAGAAACCATGATACATTTGTGTGCAAACCGCTTAGCCCTTGGATGAGTCAATAGAGTCTTGAGTAACCCCTAAGAGGAACATCTCTGCATTCCTCGCCAGCTGTGACAAATCTCCTCAAAGAGTCATTTGAGGATGCTTAAAAGACAGTGGCAAAAGCAGATTTCTCTTATGCTTTTAAGTGACAAGTGTCAGACCGGAAGCATCTACGGCGTGCCTGACTTTGCCTCCCGTGTCCCTTCTTCGTTAACCCTGAAAGTGCAAATACAAACAAATGTAATCCCGAAGGCCGCATGTGAACCGGGAGAAATCTGGAATTCCCTGCCAGGCATTTCAGTTCCCGCTGCAGCTGTTACAGTGTTTGATTTGGCGAGGGACGAGAAAGGGCGCTGCATACCGATTTCGTGAGCCACAGTGAAAGCTGCGTGGAGGCCGTCGTCTTCAATCACAGCACAGCTGCGCTCCGGAGCACATATGGTCCCCACGTCTGCCATTCCCAGGGTGTCGCATGAATGATGCCCACATAAATCCTTCCCAGGAGAGAGAAAGAAATCATTAAAATCAATTACCATCCAGAAGGGTCCACCTTGGAAAACCACTTGCTCGCTGCGAGAGGCAACACTGGGGGATGTTTATGGTGTCACCTGTTCTGGCTCTGGAAATGTTCCAAAGACAGACCAATGGCATCGACTCGTCTAAGCTTCTCTGGACTCAGAGGCACGGGAGGATGAGGGGACTCAATTCCATTAAAAAAAGATATCGGAGGATTGGAGCTTGTCCATTATGGTAACAGCTGGAGCCTTCTCCAAGCTGTAGCCCATTATGCAGACACATATGTCATGGACCACTTTCACATATGGTCATGCTTAGGGAAGCCTTAATAGTCTGGCCTAAATGCATGCTAACTTTATCAGAAGCCCAGCCTAATAATTTATTTTCCATCACAGGGGCAAACTGCAATCACATACTTGTGGCAGAATATCAATGTATCAGTAATTTGGATAGGAAGCTAAATTGTAATCTAAAGGATAATTCCTTAAGCATCTCTTAATTTCCAAATGGAGTTGTAATTTCACAGGTCGAGTCTTCAGAAATGTATGCATTTAATGAAGTATTTCTCAACCAGAAAATACATTTTATATATTGTGTTTATATAAGTGAGTGTATGCATTTTGGGGGTGAGAAGTTGTATATTAAGAGATCATAAAGGGGAACATGATTATGCTCCCACTAATGGGTACAAGTTATAGATTTAGATAAAAGAGACATCAACAGACAATGTAAAATGGAGACATGTAAAGAGAAAATATAAGCCAATGTTTTTTTGCATGATAGATATATCATGATAAACTTTCCTTAAATGATATTTGAGTATTAATATACATTAGAATTTCTTGTGCTTGCCTATGGTTTTCAATAAAAATTAATCGACAGTGTGCACATTTATATCTGAAAAAGCAAGATAGTATCCAAGTAAGCCACAGTTAAATAACTAGAATGAAAATATTTTAAAAAATTATTAATTACTATGAAAGATGACAATGTACTAGTTGAAATGACATGCATGGTTTCTATCACAGCTATCATCTTAGTATCTCCACTACCACAGTGTCTGACTTATAAAAGGAGTTCAACAAACATTTGCTTAATTGAGGTGAATTGTGATGTATAGTCAGACACAGCTTTAAGACCAAAGATCTTACACATCTTTAACAAGTTGTATGCTAGCTAAGCTAGCAAGACCTCAATGAACTTCTGGGAGACAGCACAAGATGTTATTACTACATAACTAATGCCACCTCCTCACTGTCAACATATTCTTCTAACTCTTCTCTATTTTGCTGTATAAAAATCCAACCACAGTAAAAAAAAAAATTAAATGATATATCCTATGATCTCTCTAGTACATTTTCAGGTTCTTACTATGTTCCATGCATTATGAAATCCCAACTGTGATGAATTACACTGTGGCTGCCATCTTATTATGCTAGTAGTTTCCAGACAGTGGAAATCTGAATCAAATCACCAAACCAACAGTAGCCTACCAAAGTTTCCTGTGTATCCTTATATGTCATCCTGTGGGATCTCAAATTACAGCTGTTGAGAACAAATTAGTAGTTTTTAAAATTGAAATTGGAACACACTTTTGCCTAATAATAAGTCTTAGATTTAATAGTATAGTACAACACATTTTTAAAATCCATTTTCCCCTCTTCCCCCAATTCTTTTAGTAGCTTTAAGACCAAAGATCCAGGTCATGGTTTAAGCAAATTGCTAGACACTCTAAGTTTATTTCTGCACACATATACTTTTTAAAACCAAGACTTGTGTTTATCTCCACAACTTGGGGTTCCTTATCTTCAAGTAGAATATTAAAATTTGATATTGTTTCCTCTTCTTGGAAGAGCCATAGCAAAATAGAAATGGTCTTCCTATTCTGGACAAAGTTTAATCTGGATTTTAATTTTTATATGTTTGCAGGTAATGAATTGCTCATTAGAGGCCATCAGTCCTCCTTGTCCTCCTTGAATTGCATTAAATGCATTTGGCCCTTTGCCATGGAAATGCGTGCATGTGACAAATTTATGAACAGAAGCAGCTATTTTTTTTAAACACACTGATTAAACCCCATGATGACATAGTCACACTCTCTATATTTCTGTCACTAGAATTATGTAAACTGGCAGCCTTTCCACTTAATTCACACAGTTTCAAACACTGGCAGCCTCTTTATGATTTCATCCTCAAGATTCACAGCAAATGCACACATTTTTTTGTGCTCCAATGTTCATTCCAATGTATTAAAACCCAACTTGTGCATCAAATCAGTAAGAGTACAGCACATCACCTTACACTCACAGCTATTTTTTGGTGGTGATTTATATCAATATTTATATCAATAAGTGAGAATCTTATTTGAAATTTATAAGAATCTGTATTATTACTGTTCACAATAAAAGTAAGAATACTGTTGGGGCTAAAGTATTTATCTACCCATCTATCTGGATTTGGGGGAGGGGATAATGAAGAAATGTGAGTCACATATAGTATTCCCATGAGATAAATGAATAAAAAGTGCTGACAAGAATTTTTCTGATTCATTAGTGTAGATATGAAGGTAAGTTAGATCTCTGTTATGTTAAAGAAGTTCTTTTCATACAGGATCAATATTTTCTCACCATGGTGTACACAGACAGGAATGCAATGGGAGATTTAGTAAAAACTAAAAAGGGAGGGTTGCAAGAGTATACAGAGATTTAACCAGTGGGCTTGTGGTGTGGCATTGGCCAGGAGATAAGCCTGGGACATTGTATCTAATCCAGAAATAGCACTGAAATGGCCAGCAAGACTAATGAAGGCTTGACTGGGAGGTCATTGGCATGGCGACCGTTCAATAGTTTGGCCATAATGAACAAGGCAATATCTGTGACTGGTGGAATTTAGAAGAGCTTCTGGTTCCCTAGACCTATTCCTGCAGGTGGAGTTGGGGACAGGGAGCCAACGAAGTATACAACCTTGACAAGCTGAGGCCAAGAAGATAGTACAGCCTGGGGAATCCTGGCGGCCAGGACTGATGAGAAAAATGAACCAAGCGGGTGTGTGAACATGCAAAGTGAAACAAGGAACAGGAGTTGTAGGATTTCTTGCCTTGCTCAGGAGCTAGGTCTCTCTGGGCTGCTAAAAAAAAAAAAAAAAAAAAAAAAAAAAAAAAAAAAAAGGAGTGAAAAGGAAACACATGCCGGGTAAGAGCACAAATAATCACAACTGCAGCAACAGCAGCCAAGATGAAGGAAGAATACCTTGTAGAAGAGAAGCTTCTACAAGTTGTAGAAGCTTCTCTTCTACAGAAACAGAAGCAGCTTCTGTTTCTATGTACATCACCACCTGGGAAGGGCAGGTATGGAACTCAAGGGGAGGTTCAACTAGCCTCAGATGTCTATCTGTCTGTCTACCCAATTCCTATGAAGAGGGATTAGTGATAGAAGATTAGTCTCATGTGGAACATATTTTAGTCATAGTATTACACGAACATACATTTACATACTGCATTTCCTAATCCCTGTGAATCCAATTCTTCATCTGTCATTTGGCTCTCTGGCTTCCCCAATTATAAAGGTCTTGATTTGGATCTCAGTAGAGACTACGTTAATAATGTCTATTGGTCCACTCATTACAATAACTCATGTTTATACAATCTCTATCCATGCTTCTGCTACAACTAAGCAATACCACACACACACACACACACACACACACACACACACACCCCAGATAGATTAGGGGCCAAAAGACCCAAGTGCATGTATTCCTCAAACAATTATGGTGTGCCCACAATCAGCCAGATACTGTGAGGTGCTGACACTGTGGTACACAATAAAATAAGAGCTGATCCTGACCCTTAAGAAACATGAGGATCTGGTGGAAAAACAGAATTGCTATGAGAGTAACAGATTGTGACATGCTGTCATGAATAGATTGTTGAGGGAGTGCAGAAGAGAATTTGCGGGAATCAATAAGGGTGTCTGGAAGGAAGTAATTGGATCTGGAGGAATAAACAGAGGCTGACAGTCTCAGAATAAGGGTTCTCTAACAAGGAAAGATTGGTGAATCCATCAGGAGATGGTGAATGGCAGGGTCTGTTTTGGAAATGGCAGGAAGTTTGTTGGGGATGGAATAGACAGGATTTGTTAGATTCAGGAGACTTGGGAAAGCTGGGAAAATAGTGTAGGCCCACCCAGAGTTCCAAGACAGGACATTTTTTCCTGATAAATGTATAGTCAGAAGAAGGGAAAGAAGGAATGGAGCAAGTTGGAGATTGAGTGGAGTAGATGCTTGGAGGAGTTATTTTGGAGAACAGAATAGAAGCTAATTAGAGATAACAAATGGAAGGTCAACTGCTTTTAGTTCTAACCTCTATTAGTAAGACTCATTATGTAAGTCATTTACATGCTTTCAGACAAAGTTCCTTCATCATTAACATAAGGAATTTGGACCAGGCGATCTCTGTGTCTTTCCAGCAATACATGGTTGGTATTCTATGAAAACATTCAATTTATAGATGGAGAAATTAAAGCTCAGGGGTAATAAGTGTTCAAAGTGGGAAGTTGAAACTAGTGAAGCTGACATTCAACCTATGTCTAAAGACTCCAATTCCTGAACCTACTTTGCCATGGCACTATTAGATCATCATACATGTTATTGTTGACATAACTTATTTTTACATTCATAAATTGTGCTTGGTCAAGCAAATTCCTTTTTTTTTTTTTTTTGCAGTAGATAATACAGCATAGTCTTTATCTCTATATTGTGTTTGGTATAACTCAATAATTCAGAGGCACATTAAATATACAAAGTGCACAAAGTTGTTCCAGGAAAGAATATAGAAGTGCAGGATAAGAAAGCTGTGACACCATCAAGTTGTCTCTCTCTCTCTCTCTCTCTCTCTCTCTCTCTCTCTCTCTCTCTCTCTCTCTCTCTCTCCTGCCATATCTGATAGGTAAGTCACTGACTCCATCAACCAAAAGTCTCCTGTAACTGTCCTCTCTTTCTCATTCATTCCATTATTCCTTCCTGACTAGACTATCATCCAAGGCTGGTCCCATTGCCTCTTGTAACCTCCCTACCTATATGCTTGGACTCCAGATCTTTTTTTAATGTATTTTATTTTTCAATTACAATTTACATTCAATATTCTTTTGTACTAGTTTCATATGTTCACACACTATAGTGGTTAGACAATCACATACTTTACAAAGTGTTCTCTGATATTCCAAAACACTAACTCAAAAGAATATATGAACCCCTATGTTTATTACAGCACTATTTACAATAGCCAATCCAAGTGTCCATCAGTAGATGAGTGTATAAAAAGTTTGTGGTACATGTATACAATAGACCACGGATCTTATAAGATTCCTCCAAAATTTAAAAGATACAATATTAGCCTCCATTCATCCATGCACAATGCAACTTAAGCTTCCTGTCAGCCTCAACTGCACCTTCATGATCCATCTTGTCCAATATTTCTTGAATATCTCATCAATTTTGGCCCCAAATCTTAGCCCCAACATTCCTTCTGCCAAAAAGGATGAATTAACTCACACCCACCTTACTTTAACATTTCTTGACTTGATCTCTGTTTCTCTATTTTCTGGTGCCATTGCTTTATAATGTTATATTAGTTTCAAGTGAACAACATAATGATTCGATATATGCACATATCATGAAATTCTTACCACAGTAAGTCTACTTAACATCCATTTCCATATGATGACAATTATTTCTTTCTTGTGATGAAAATGTTAAGATCTATTCTCTTGGCAACTTTCAATTCATCAATCATTTTTCAAATGTCAACTAGAACTGCTCAATCTGCTCCAGTCTTCCCATTTTTGCATTATTTTGCCTTGTGTTAATTGGGGTTCACCTATAGGCTATAAATCCTTGCTAAGGGTTCATTTTGGCTTTAAATGGGACTTGAACTCAAATATGAGATTGATTGTGCCAGTCCAGTCAGCAAGCACATAAGAAAAAGCACATCCTTCTGTCTCCCTGAGCATCTGGTCTCCTTGTAAGACGCCAGATGGGAAAGATAAGCTATCAGTGGAGTCCCTACCTCAGCATTATAAAACACAACAGACAGAGAGGTGTTAGCTGAGAGACAATTGCCTATGAACTGCCACACTGATAAGTCATAGTGAAAGCAGATGAATCTTTTCTATTGCATAGCCTCCTAGCTGGTTCGGTTACAATTCCATGCTTTCCATCCACGGATGAGTGAAGCTGTCATTGGTGTTGTCCCTGTCATGGGAGATTAAGCACTGACAATTTTCTTATCAAGCAGGCAGGGGTTTTGCTTCTCAAGAAGAGTGCATGGTCTCCAAAATGGGCTTAAGAGCTTATCTTTAAATAAACTACAATAAAGGAAGAAGCTAAGAAGAAGGAAAGAACTCTGGAAAGTACAATTAAATCCTGGGAGGATTGGGTTTCGACTGTTTGGTGGCACAAGTGGTGTGAATTCCAGCAGAAGTGCCATTCCAGAATGAAAAAGGACTCATGCCAGAAAGCTGACTGGTGCTAAAGTTTCTCTAATTAGTACAGTACTGAGTGCTGGGGGACAGTCCTGACAACGAAGCGTGTCTGTGTGATAAATGAATGACTAGCACTATTCTGCTGACTCCCGGACACAACACTGAAGGTGGCCCCGGCTAGTAAACAGTGGTGGAAAACACATCCTCACACAGTTGCTTCATGCCTGAAAAACAAGTAATTTAGCAGAAGACAGCTGGATGCAAAATCTGACCGGAGCTCTGAGCCCATCAAAACACGGATTTCATGGCTTGGCGTCTGGCTGCTAAGCAACGGGTTTATGACATCAAAACAGAGTTGTAAAAGTAGGATCCTGGTGCCAGCTCTGGGTAGTTCCCATTGAAAAGAAAGTGCGGCGAGCACTTTTTTGCTAGGTCTGAAGAGATCTGATTTCCCCGGGATAGAGGAGAGCTCAGATCATTTCTCCTCTAGCCCAGAATGTGTTTTCCACATTCTGAAGTATTAGGTGGAGATTAATTTTTGCATTTCTGAAGTAGTCTCAAGTGCATGCTGCATAAGGGTCTCCGAGTTTTTTCTCAGCTCTTTAATGAAGAGCGCTCTTTTAAATGAGGTGCATGTATGCATAACATACATGCTTTTCAGATACTTGGTTCTCATCCAGTTTGATGCATATACCAGAAGGCCAGCGCCAAAGTAAGTGGCAACCGCTTTACTAAAAGTGTGATTCTGCTTGGTGAGGAGGCCAGCGAGGGCCTATGAAAAATACTTTCCATGCGTGGACCAAATAAGAAAGAAATGTTATTAAGATACTCATTCACAATAAGATAGACTGTTCATCTATTTAAAATATAGCGGTAGGTTTCAGAGCTTGGGAAAATAGGAAATGCTAGCTACCCACACTAAAAACAAATCCAGAAAAAGCAGCAGACATCATTTAGAATCACTGACCAGTTTTCCCTTTTCCAGGGAAGCAATTAGGAAAACTGCAGGGCAGGAGGTAGGAAGGAGTGATCTTCTATTCATTTTTATTTATTTTAAAAAATTATGGAATGTGCGTTTGCATTTCCAAAGGAAAGTGAAGCATTCAAACGACCTACTGTTTGGAGCAGTTTGCCTACACAAGTATTTTTCCCTTTGTCTTTACAGAACTTCCTTCCATAAACTCTCTGGAGCCTCCTACTTGGCAGCCTCTGGTGATGTAGCAAAGCAAAAAATCCAGACATGGAAAGTTGCTTAAAAAAAAAAAGAACTTGGAAACCAAAGAAGAAAGAAATAGTTTTACAGGAGAACTTCACACTGAAGGCTGCAAAACGAACGTTCTTCCGTTTCAAAGGTGAATGTTGTGCGGAGAAATGAAAGGATGTGTCCAGGAGATCAGTTCATGAGGAGACAGATTTTCCATGGGGCATAGCACTGTGTCCTGCCGCATTCTCCCTAAGCTGCTGCCCTCTGCCGTCTTCGTTTACTTGTGGTTTACATGTATGTCTACCCCATAAACCACAAGGGTTCCTCCACTCCAAATGTATCAACACATTTTCTTCATGCCAGAGGCACCTTAGTAAAACAAAAAACAAAAAAAAGGGGGGGGGAGGTTTGGTAGTGGAGCTCCATGATTCTAAAACCTCCTGCAAGCCACCATTGCATTTCCTATTCTAGCTCTGGCTGCTCCATTTCCACCCAAGATTTTGCATACTCTTTCAAAGTTGCTAATCCTCATTGACACCAGGTGGATCTCAAACATTTAAAGAAGGAGCTTTAAAAGTTGCTTTTTACCAGACATCTGAGAGGCACAACTTAAAACGACCAGTTGGAGAAGAGTTGTGAAAATTGAGGCTTGGAGCTGAGCAAGCCAGCCCCACTACCAGCCTGAACGTTTGTGTCTGAATGTCACACTCACATGGTGTCTCGTGATGGTGCAAATAGAGATTGTGTTCTCCCCAGAACCTCTGGGCCTATAAAGATCAATGTCTTTCCTATTTTGTAACCGTCTTCCTTAAAAGAGGAAATCCTGAGAAAACATTCTTCCCCGTGTTTTAACTCTTTGCCCAGATCTTTCCACAGTTGGGGCTTCAGAAACGTTCATCCCAAAACCCAAAAATGTAAGCTGGACGTGACCTTTACTGAGCAGGCAGCGCTGCATCCAAGCCAAAGGCGTTGCCAAGGAACCTCACAAGATTGGGATTCTAACTAAGGAACCTCACAAGATTGGGTTTCTACATCCTCCTCACCCTCCTGCATTCCTTCCTTCCCAGGAATGAGATTCCAACGGGGTGGACATGCAAGAACCTCCGCCGGAAACCAGACTGAATACGGCGTCCTTCCTTCGGAAACTCTTCCCTCCGCTGGAGATGGAAGAGGCTTAAGGACGAATGTAAGAACACCACCAAGGAAGGTGATGGATAAAAAGCACTACCATGGATGGGCCATCAAGCCCCTTCCATTAAGTTGGACAACGTTCTATTTTCCCTGATTTCCAAGGCAAACTTGCTTCTCCTCTTTCCAACTTAGCTCACTTCATTTCCCCAAGCATTCTAGTCCCTTCTTACCCTATGTATGCATCGATGACACCATATCTTGGACTAGAGACATCCTGCCTGATTGATTGATTGATTGATTGATTGATTGTCTAAGCAGTTCTGGGGGTTGCTGCAGGGGTTACCCTGAATACAGAGGCAGAGTGGGTATCCTGCAAGAAGCAGGTAAATATATCCAGAGTGGCCTGTGGTTTTCGGAAGATGCCAGCAACCAGTATAGGATGGCTGTCCCAGCTCCGTCTATCCTCTACCCGGCTGGACCTACCTGGCGCGTGAAGAGGATGGCGGCATCATAGTGCTCCTCGTGGTCGTCCCCCAGCTGGTTGTGCTGGTGCTGCCACTTGCAGAAGTTCTTGAGCGTGGTGGCCGCGTTCTTGCTCACCTCCAGGCTCTTGTCCCTGTCGCCCAGCACCACCACCTTCACCACCGCCAGGCGGACGTGGTTCTCGATGCTGGCATGGCTGTACAGCCGGTTGGCGATGGAGGCCAAGGTCAGCAGGTAGTGCTGCAGGCCCCGGCCGTACAGCCGCGCCATGGACGCGTCGGCCACCAGCAGCAGCTCCACCTGGCGGGCCCGCGAGATGGAGCGGCGCCGCCGCCGCCACCAGGTCTGCGGTCCCTGGTCCCCATCCGACGGCGGCGGCGGCGGCGGCGGGGGCGGCGGGGCCGACCTGTCATCCAGGAGCCGCGGGGCCAGCGTCCAGCGTCCGTCTGCGCTGCCGCCGCTGCGCCGCGAGGGGCGCTCGCGGGGTCCCGCCGGGGCCGCGGTGGTCTCGCAGCTCGCGCGCGGCCGCAGGGCCTCGAAGCTGAAGCCGTCGCGGGTGTAGACGTGCGGGACCCGCGTGGACCCGTCTCCGTACGCGCGCCCGGCCTCTTCCTCTACCTCCTGGGCCCGGGGCCCGCGCCACAGCGGCTTCAGGGTGTAGCGCGCGTGCTTGACGGCGAAGAAGCCGTCCAGGCCGCCGCACAGGTCGAAGACGGCCAGGGAGCGGGGGCTGCCGTCCACCGTGCCCCGGTACAAGCAGTGGCCCCGGCGGCGCGCGGCGGCGGCGCCTCCCGGGGGCGCCAAGCCAGCGGCGCCCAGCGAGGCATCCCGCTCCAGGTCCAGCAGGAACCTGCGGCCGCCCGCGTACACCAGGTAGCCCACCTTGCCGCCGCCCGAGTAGATCTGGTCGATGTTGTGCACCAGCCCGCGGCTGCTGCCAGGCGGCGGCGGCGGCGGCGGGGGTTCCGGGGGGCCCGGAGGCTCTGCCCGCTCCGGCGCCTCCTCCTCCCCCCGCGGCCGCGGCCGGCGGGGCTGGGCGATCGCGGCGGCGGCGGCGGCGGCGGCGGCGGCGGCGGCTGCTGCCCGGGGCCGGGGCCGGGCGGCGGGCACCCGGGCAGGTGCGGCGGCGGCGCCGGCGGCGGGCGGGGGCAGGCGGAGCGCGCACAGCAGCAGGGACGCCCACCCGAGCAGCATAGTGCGCGGCCCGCGGGGAGGGGCTGCGCGCGGGACCCGACGGGTGTCTGTTATTCGCTCTGAAGGTGCCGGGGCGGGAGGTGGGGGCTTGCACACACACACACACACACACACACACACACACACGCACGCACACGCACTCGCTTGCACGCTTGCACGCTTGCAAGTTGAGTCAAGTGTCCTGGGAGGAGGGGGACCCAGTAGCGCCAGCCGGTCCGCCCGTCCGTCCGGACTGCCGCCGTGCCAGCGTGCGAACTTTTCTTTGTTGCTTTGGCAAATGTTGGGATTCGTGCTCCGGAAAGAAGGAGAGGGGGGAAAAAAAATAAAAATTAAAAAAAAAAAGTGGGGGGAGAAAAGCAGCCGGATGGTGGAGATTCAGCAATTATGAGAAAAGGGGGGCGGAGGGGAGACCCCAATCCTCCCCAAATTGCAGCCAGAAAAAGTCAGGAAGGTGCGGTGCACCGGGCGGGCGGCCCGCCCCCCCGGGCAGCTGCCCCGGACCGACCCCGCGGGCAAGCGGGGGCTCCACGCTCCGGAGCCCACTTTTCTTGCTTATTGGGTGGCTCTCTTCGACTCGAGTGGCACCGAGAGGAAAGGAGGGAAGCAAGAGGAAAAGGCCATGAGAAAAAAAAAAAATTAAAATGAAAACGCCTGCAGCGAGCCGGTGAAGCGCGTCCGGGTCCCCTCGGGCGGGCGCGGCGTCCTCCGGGCCGCGGTCATCCCCGGTCGGCCGCTGCGGGCGCGGAGAGCGGCGCGCGCTGTGAAGATGCGAGGCGGCGGAACAATGCATTTATAGCGGCATGCCATCCTGCAATGGCAATTTCAACAATTCGTCACTGCGAGCTGCCTCTTAAAGGGAGAGAGAGCTTCCCCCACCCTCCCTCCCTCCCTCCCACCCTCCCCGGCCCGCGCCCGATCAGACGGGGGAGGGCGGGCGGGGGAGGGGGGGGATGATCGAGGAAAGGGAGACCGGGAAGGAGGAAGGAACCGGGCGAGGTGGAAGGAGGGAGCGAGGACGGGGTGGGGGTTGGGGGGGAGAGCGAGTATTTGGGGAAGGAAAACAGAAGATCTCCTTGGCCTCCTTTAAAGCCACAGCAGCTCCGGATTTGCCTGCTATTTCACAACGCGCTGGGGTTGGCTAACCTCGGCTTACCTCCTCTCCTGAAGGGGTGTTTTGGGGGTGTGTGTGTGTGTGTTTAAAGTTACTGGGACGTTTCGAGTCTCTCCCTGCCTCCTTCTCTGCAGCTTTTCTTGCCTTGGGTAGGAAGTTCCTGCCGGAAAGTTTTTCCCCCCGTTTGCACGCCGGCCTCTTAAACGGTGTAACTCCAAATCCACCAGCAAAAGGCTTTCGGCTTCCCGTGCGCCCCCTGGTCCGGCGCTGCCACTCGCCTCCTCCCAGCCCTCCAGATCCCGAATTTCTTCCCCCTCTCCTACCCCCCCAGCCCCATTCCCAGGCCGGTCCCCGGGTGAGGGCTCCGGGTGACTAACTTCTCCCAGCCACCAGCAGAGGGGCCGGGCAGCCAGTGCCGCAGGCGCTTCCTGGCGCGTCTGCTGCGCCCGGAGCTCTGCTGTGCCCCCAGCTGGGCCGCCCTGGGTCTGGGAACTCCAAGCCTTTATGTGCGAGCCCTGGGCTCCCCTCTTTCTCCAGCGTGCTTTGCATCGGTGCCCACAATCTGCCGCCTAATCCCCGATGTCTGCAACTTCTTTTGCGTTGCTTTGCTCTAAGAAGGCTGGGCCAGAAGGAGTTAACTCTTGAAGGGAATTGCGCTCATTTTTAACATCGTGGTACCCGCACTTCTCTTCTGGCAGCCTAAGGAGTAATAATAAAGTGATCAATGCTGCTATTTGTATTTATCTCTCCTACAGCTGACTTGCTGTCCGTTTCAGAAATTGCTTTCCGGAGAGAAAGAAGACCTGGGTTGGGCGGTAGGGTGATGCGGGTCAGTGGGATTGTCACTGTGCCTCGGTTGTCCCTTTTTTGTCTCTTCTGGTTATCCACTCTAATAGGAAGAAAAAGAAAACCCAGTGACTTTGCAGCCATTACCTGGTACCTGTCAGAAGGTCTACTGTAGGGGCAGGAACATTCTCCTCCCCCATTAGTCTTCACACAAGTAAGTGAAACATGGATCCGGCATGATTAGCACACTTCAGTCTTTCCTTATGTGTGTTTAGCGTACAGGGATGCAGAGACCTCTGTGGTATTCCTGGATCCTTGGTAAGCGATCTGATCAGTTTTTACAGAGAGGACCGAGGAGGTCCTGGGCTGATGGAGGTCCTCAGCGTGGGAATGAGCCCCAGGATGGAATCCTGGAAGTGCCAGATGTGGTTCATGGCCTGTGCCTGGTGCACCCTCTGGAGCATCTGAGTGGCAGGGAAGTGAAACATGTCCTGAGACAGTTCACGTTTATAATGGAAGTCATCACTGGGGTTGGGGTTTACCCAACAACCCCTAGTGGATTCTGAAATACTTCCAGAACTGGGAGGAAGTGGCTATTGCTGAAGGACATTGTCTTTTAGTCCCCCCACCCCTCGGTGGCTCCTCCCTCTGTGACATGCCCACGGCCAATACTGCCGGTTGAATATTTTGAGGAATCAGACATTCAGGATAAGTATTAGAAGGAAAACCTAGGTTTCAGCAGGCTTCTCTGTGCCGCCAATAGCCTTCACGTGTTGTGGTTTGCCTAGAGAAAGCAATGTCTCGCCTGCCAATTCCAGTGGGAAGCAGTCCGATATCTGGCACTAGCGCCATCTCTAAAACAATTTCAGTCATTGTAACAATTTCAGCATTGTTGCTCAATGGATCATTTTGATTGGCAGTTTAGATGACAGTGGTTTACATGTATTAATGACAATCATTTGCATTCGCAGATAAGCGATTATTTAGCATGTAATGAAATTCTAACTGAATTTTCTTCTTAGTGGACGTTTTTCCCGTTGTTTCCAACACACTACATTTCTCACATGAATCATGTCTCTGAATTTTATGCCTAGCTCTACATTTAATTTAATAATGACATTCGTACTCATGCAGATTATTTAAATGTTTAGAAATACATCGAAGAAAATGATAGATAAAACTTCAAAGGTGAACATCAAGAACTAAATATTTATAGAACCATATGTCCATAAGGAAAGGTATTCTTCCAGTTTAGAAATATAATGAGAAATTTTTACATATTCAGATAACTTCTGCTTGGATTTAACTTCATTTTTTGGTTCATTTGGATACTTTACGAAGTACGTTTGGTGATGATATTTTTAAAATATAACCCTCGAGGGTTAGGATGAACTGCTCTGTTCCAGAAAGAATTCATGCCTCTCAGTCCAAGGAAGTAATTTGCACTGAATGAAAGTAGCTTGCAGTTATTTATTTATTTTTTACAGTAGAATGACAAAATACATTAGCAATCATGTTCAAGTGGACCAATTGCTAGGCTATTATTTCATTATTCTGGGCAGCAGTTTTACTTGTGCATAATTAATGAGGAAGTCCCACTGGGTTGACAGAGTGTCTGATCAAGCCTGATCCATAATTTTACATTTCCCGAAAGGAAGAGAGAGACTTCCCACTGCAGTCTGTTTCAGTGGGAAGTTATCTTGGAGGTTATGTAAGGCAACTCCCTCCACATACCAGTGAGAAACTGAGAGTAGAGACCGAAGTGGTTATAAGGCCCATGAGTGGCCAGCTCCTTCAAAGCCTAAGTCCCTTACGTCCTTGATTGGTGCTCAGTCTACAACACCTCTTAAAATCTACCCAGTTCCACAAATATCCATGGAGGGACTGCTGCAAAGTGCTCCGTGAGGGTCTCAGAAGGCGTATAAAGACGAATAAGCCATGATTCATGTTCTCAGCAGCTCACAGTTCCAGAAATGGAGCTAATTATACCAAGAGATACTTGGAATATGAGCCGGAAGCTACAAGTAGAGAGGGAAGGAAGCAAGAAAATAGCTCATGCAGGTTCTCCAAGACTTGTGTTTCCAGTACAGCTCCACGCCATAGGATTTGTATGTTGTGTTTTCTGAAATTTCCATTTGCCAAAGTATCCCTTCCTTCCTCTCTGGCATCTGTGATTTTAATGGGAAGAGTGAGGAAGTAACAGACAATAAAACATTCCCCTCTGAACAACACCTGCTCCTTACCTCCCATGTAGAACAATTGTAGTCTCTCAAGATCCCTACCTTGTGTGTGTGTGTTGTTTTTTTTTTCCTCTCTACCCTGGACCTTGCAGTATTTTCAGCTCCATTAACATAATCTTCCTCAGTGGGAAGATGGTAGAAGCTGGGAATCAAGCACTCCACCACTACATGAGGCCATCCATGCAAGCCACCCGAGAGACCTTGGGCCAGCCATTTCCTCCAGTGTCACTTAGCTTAGCAAGTTCTAGTTTTCATGAGACTTTCCTCAAAACCACAGGTTATTTTAGGGGCCTCATAGAAATGCAATCAAGCAGTATTTGTTCTGTGACTGGCTTATTTTTCGCTTATAACATCTTGCAGGTTCACCATGTCATCACACACAAAATAGTCAAACTCACAGAGGCAGAGAGCAGAATGATGCTTGCCAGTGGCTAGGGGCAGGGAAAGCGAGGAGTTGTTATTCAATGAGTATAAATTTTGAGTTTTGCCAGAAGAATAAGTTGTTGAGATCTGTACAACATCGCACCTGCAGTTAACAGCACTATATTATACACTTCAAACACTAAGGGTAGATTTTGTATTTGGTTTTTACTATAAAACCAAACCAAACCAAGCGTAGCACTTTGGGAATAAGAAAAGGAAATGGATGAACTATGCTAGCTTTCATATGAATCCTGATGTTTGAAAGAGTGAAACTATATCTGAACAGTCCTTCTCTTATTTTCCAGCCTTTTACCTCCATCCATGTCTCCTCTTTTGTTCCTCAGTGGTCTAGCATGCATCTTTGATATATATATATATATATATATATATATATATATATATATATATATATGTTTCAGAGAAGAAGGGAGAGAGAGGGGGAGATAGAAACATCAATGATGAGAGAGAATCATTAATTGGCTGCCTTCTGCATGCTCCACACTGGGGATTGAGCCCACAACCTGGGCATATGCCCTGACAGGGAATCAAACCATCACCCCCTGATTCATAGATCAATGCTCAACCACTGAGCCACACTGGCTGGGCCTAACATGCATCTTGATCTTGACACTCTGGTACACGTGCACAATCTCCCACACATTAGACACACCAGGCACGTCAGTATGGATGTGCTCATACACACACTCATCCAAACTCAGTTTGCCCTCAAGGCTGAACTGACTGATAGGTAGAAAGTTCTGATCAAAACTGAGATGATAGGTAAAAGGATTTTACCAAATCTACCTTGCCCCTTGCAAACAACGCTTTCTTGGGACCTGTAATGTGGAGATTTTATTTTTCCAGGGACCATTCCTGCATTCCTGATAAAACTCAGAACATTTTACCTGCTGTCTGTTCAGGAGCAGTCAATCTGTGGTGATGGATAACATATGCTTCAGAACCAGTCTTACCTAATAAAAGAAAAGAAAGTTTTGGGAAAGCTACATTTTCATTTTTCTTATACACAGGCATTTCATACTGTCTAAAAGTCTTTGAATGAATAATGTACATGTGTATTATTTAAGACATACAGGTGCTCTTGGTAAAGCAAAACTGACTAGTCAGTTTTATGCTGACCAGCTGTGAAATGTTGTTTTAGCTTTTCTCACGCAATTATGTGCATATTACTTGCTTTTATGAGTTACCCCAGTTCTGCTTTTTTCCTTTATT